GGGGAAAAATTGGGAGAAAAACGGCGGAAAAACGGGAAAAAAATGGAGGAAAAATGGAGAAAAAATGGGGGAAAAAATGGGGGAAAATTGGAGGAGAAAGGGGGAAAAAATGGGGACATTTGGGAGCATTTGGGGACGTTCAGGAGAAAACTGGAAACAAATTGGGAGAAATTTGGGGAAAAAATGGGAAAAAAATTGGGAAAAAATTGGAGGAAAAACGGCCGAAAAATGGAGGAAAAACGGGGAAAAAATGGGGGAAAAATTGGGAGAAATGGAGGAAAAATTGGGACATCGCCGAGGTGGCAGGTGACAATTGGGGACATCTGGGGACATTTGGGGACATTCAGGAAAAAATTGGGAAAAAATTGGGGAAAAATTGGGAGAAATTTGGGGAAAAAACGGCGAAAAAACGGCGGAAAAACAGGGGAAAAATGGGGGAGAAATGGGGAAAAATGGGGACATTGGGGACATTGGGGACATCGCCGAGGTGGCAGGTGACAATTGGGGACATGAAAAAATGGGGAAAAATGGGGAAAAAGTTGGGAAAAAACTGGAAAAAAATTGGGAGAAATTTGGGGAAAAAACGGCGGAAAAACGGAGGAGAAATGGAGGAAAAATGGGGGACATTGGGGACAATGGGGACACTGGGGACATTGCGGACATTGCCGAGGTGGCAGGTGACAGCTGGGGACAAATTGGGAAAAATTGGGAAAAAGTTGGGAAAAAATTGGGAAAAAATTGGGAAAAAACGGGGAAAAAATGGAGAAAAAACAGGGAAAAAATGGGGGAACATGGGGGAGAAATAGAGGAAAAAATTGAGGAAAAAATGGAGGAAATTGGGGACAATTGGGGACATTTGGGGACATTTAGGGACATTTGGGAAAAAATTGGGGAAAAAATTGGGAAAAAATTGGGAGAAATTTGGGAAAAATTTGGGAAAAAAATGGGGAAAAAACAGGGGAAAATGGGGGAAAAATGGAGGAGAAATGGAGAAAAAATGGGGGAAATTGGGGACAATTGGGGACATTTGGGGACATTGGGGACAGTCAGGAAAAAAATTGGGGAAAACATTGGGAAAAAATTGGGAGAAATTTGGGAAAAAATTGGGGGAAAAACGGCCGAAAAATGGAGGAAAAACGGGGAAAAATGGGGGAAAAATTGGGAGAAATGGAGGAAAAATTGGGACATTGGGGACATCGCCGAGGTGGCAGGTGACAATTGGGGACATCTGGGGACATTTGGGAAAAAATTGGGGAAAAATTGGGAGAAATTTGGGAAAAAACGGGGAGAAATTTGGGGAAAAAACGGTGAAAAAATGGAGGAAAAACAGGGCAAAATGGGAACAATTTGGGGACATTGGGGACATTGCTGAGGTGGCAGATGACAATTGGGGACAAATTGGGAAAAATTGGAAAAAAACCAGGAAAAAATTGGGAAAAAATTGGGAGAAATTTGGGAAAAAACGGGGAAAAAACGGCGGAAAAACTAGGGAAAAAACGGGGAAAAATGGGGAAAAATTGGGACAATTTGTGGACATTTGGGAGCATTTGGGGACATTTGGGGACATTTGGGAAAAAAAAACGGGAAAAAATTGGGAGAAATTTGGGGAAAAAACGCGGAAAAAACGGCGGAAAAACGGGGAGAAATTGGGGGAAAATGGGGAAAAAATGGGAAAATTTGGGGCCATTGGGGACATCGCTCCCAGTAACCCCCAGTAACTCCCAATCCCCTCCCAGTCCATCCCAGTCCATCCCAGTCCATCCCAGTCCATCCCAGTTTGATCCCAGTCCATCCCAGTCCATCCCAGTCCATCCCAGTCCATCCCAGTCCATTCCCAGTCCATCCCAGTCCATCCCAGTCCATTCCAGTCCTTCCCAGTTTGATCCCAGTCCATTCCCAGTTTATCCCAGTCCATCCCAGTT